CCAGACAATTAATTAACATTTAACTTTCGTCTTTTCTAGTACTTTGGCCCTCGGTTTGTGATGGAGTTAATTAATTAACACGAAATATCATTTTTCTCATTTCAATTTAATAAATTGCAAATAAAGTAAGGACTTTTAACTATGTATCTGGCAATTAGCTTAATGCTAATTTTTTTCTTTTAATCGTTGTTTTCAGAGCCAAAATTGTGCAATTTTAATATATCCCTAACGGGATGTACGATATATGTTTACCTCTTCATGGTGCACCCTGGGCAACGTATACTCATACGGCAAAAAGTCTATTAACCGGTAGTTGACTTCTCACTTCAAACTACTATCACCCCACTGTATGTCATATTCAACCCATTTCACAGTACTCATCTTACCTTATCTCTGCCTTTGTATCTGTCTGTCCCTTTTACATCTGTGAATCATTATTCTGTCCTACCTCTCGACTTTTGTCACTTTGATGTTCCTCCTCTTCTCTGTGAAGCCCGAAGTCAGCTAAAGGGCTACTGATAATTATCAAAACGCCTGCTATTTGATATAAATAAATATCTATTTCTCTAACAGTTCCAGGAAAACCTTGGTGTAGAAGACGAAGAATAAATTCATCTCTTTCAATTTTTTGCCACAAAAAGTCCTGTTTTTTATCGCATGAACAAACAAAATTGCCATTCTCATCCCCTACCAACTGAATTAAGTTAAATTCCTTGAATCACCAAATGATTTTGAACCGATTTTAGTCATCTCCAGATATTTGCACTGTTAAGAAGAAGTCTTCTCATACAGCCCTTTACTTCAATTAAGGTGTGTATGGAAGACATGAATTTATATTCACTTACTGATTTCTGATGGCCACATCTCCTATTCGGCCATCTATGGAAAATCAATATCATTCTTTTATGTGAGGTCATTTTGACAATCGGGTGAATTGGAACACTTAAACATTACACCACCGGGTCTCTTTTCTGATAACTTAAATATGATCCTTACCAAATGGCTAGGTACCATCATTATTATTTCAAATGGCAGGCTTTATGATATTTATCATTGGCCCTTAAGCTTTGACTTCAGCTGCCCCCAAGGGTGGGGGGGTACATATATAGCAGTTAATTAATAGCAGTTCATTAGCTGTCTTCTTGCTTCCCAGTATCTTTGGGTTTCCGTCGTTGTCTTTAGGACTGGACATTGAATCAGGTGGGTCTTCTCCATTTCTTCCTGTAGGTTACATAGAGGGCATGTGGGTTGAGTGCATACTCCCAATCTGTGATGGTGTTTTGCCAGGCAATCGTGTCCGATACGTAGTCTAAACTCAGCAACGGCTTCGATTCTTGGCCAGTCGGCTATATCGGAGAGTGCCACTGCCCACTGTTTCTCCTTTGTTCGAGCTTTAAGTTCGTTGCAACTTGAGGTCTTGAATTCTCTTCTGATTAAGGCCTTCATTGTGTGGAAAGACATTGGCCGGTCCATGCATTGCAAAATCGTTGTCCCCTTCTTAGCAAGTGTGCCAGCAAGCTCATTGCCTTTAATGCCACAGTGACCAGGAATCCATTGTAGGACCACTGTTTTGTTTTTCTCTCTCAGCAGCTGATAGCTGGCTAGGTACCATCATGAAACCCATTGATAAAACTTTTTACTGGGAAGGATTTAAGCAATAAACTCTAATGAATTATGAGCAGTAAGTTGAACTATTTGAAGATTGCTAATTAGACGAGTTATTTTAATGAAATGGGCACACGTGAATGACAACTTCACCACTCGCAATCTTGGGAACCGTAACTTTCCAACATCAATTAACGAAATTACATGTGATAATTCTTATTTCTTGTTGATACTGAACACAGACTTTAGCTGATATCAACTGGATTCCCATTGGCTGTAGACATTAACAGTAAAACAAATATGAATTTACCGTTTGGATGGTAATGTAGACTTCAGAACATCAGATTTTTGGATCTTACGCTTTAGTAAGTTTCAAAAATATTTTTCACTTTCTAGATTTTCTCATGAAAAAAATGAATGATTTACTTCCTTGGTTGTAAAATATACGGAAATTGTAATATTAAGTTGAATGAAGATTATAGATCTTAAATAATAGGTCCCTAGTGAGTTTCAAACGTGTTTGCTCTTGAATTGGATGTCAAACTCTGTCCAGGCTAGCCAAGATTTGGGACAATAGGGTGAGTTCTCTTAATTATACATGCTCTCTCTTCATTTCAATGACTTTGATCTAATTATGGTTTGATCTCAAAATAACTTACTATATCTTACTGGCTCTAGTGTCCTTTGATGTGCTATTTCTGTTATTAGTAAATAGCCCTATTGTGTTAATCAGGGCGTTCTTGTAGTACTTTTGTACGGGACAATTAGAAATTACTTTGAGAAGGTAGATCCTGCAACTGGCAAGGTGGCTACTCGCCTCATATTTAGCTCCATTAAGTTCCTCTAGTAACTGACACCAACCCCCCCCCCCCCCCCCCCCCACCCAATACCCAAAGCGCATTCCTTCTGGTCTTTTACCCCCACTTGGTACTCTTATCTAATTGACTGATTTTGCAATTGCTATAATTTCTTTGGAGTGGACATTAATACTTCCTTGAAAAAGGCACCAACAATACCTTAATTTATTAACTAGAGTGGCATAAATGTTAACAATACCGATAAACTTCCTGTCAATTGCTTCAGTTTTCTACTTACCGCATATTGAGATTCACTCTGCTCTGTCTATGCCTCATTCAGTGTACATTAGTCTGATCAACCTTTTTTCCCAATGACTTAAACATCCTGTACTGATCTCCTTCCACGCTTCTTCGGTTTGCCCTTTTTCAAAATAGATGCGTTCTTCTAAAATTTCATTAGAAGGACAATGGGTTAGCGCCTTTCTACTCTAGAGCGGTTCCTGCTTTTATTGTTTGACACTTTGAGTGATTGGAGTTAGTTCATTGAAAAAAGTAAGTGAATAAGGTAGTGATCAAATCTACCCTTTATCCTCCCAACATGCTATGTTCGGGGTCAGGAAATGGCAAGTGGTTAGTGGCTTTAAAATCCTCCCAGTATTTAAAAGGCCTTCGACGGACAGGAAAATTGCACTATTGGGGAAGAGTACTACTCTTAATAATCACCATTAACATCTGACACATGCTCAATCTAGCCTCCTTTGCACAACATGAAGCAGGCTTACTTCACAATTTCCTTGGGAAGGGCTCGGTTGGCTTTTGAAGCACTGGCAAGAAGAGCTGTCTTTTTTCTTAGCGCTCATTGCATGCACAATGGTTCCCACGTGGTTCAGATCTAAGGATCTTATGGTTCAATATTAACTACCCTGATTCGTAATCCAGAGATAATGGACTATGGTGATTGGAATTTAAACTTAGCCTCTCCATAAAGCATGTGAACAATCGACTGCATGCTAGCTTGTCGGTCTTATCATGCCAAAGACCTTTTCTTGACGCTAAAGAGCCGGATTGATTGTGCTTCAACGGGGTGTTTCACATTGCTCATGAGTTTTAATTGCCTTTGTCAGACCATTTTAGAGGTCCTTAAATGTGAAAAGTTGGCCTTTACGATAGTTATATGAGCTTGAAGTGGCAAAGATCTTAACTGAGGACAGGCTTTATGAGGTTGACTGAAACATTTAATTAACCGTGAAGACAAAACCCTAGTTCTAGTGCCAGGGTGGTGATTCAACAGTTGGCTCGGTCGATTTTCGACGAAATCTGCTGTGTAAGTCCAATCAGATGCGATTGTTTGTCCCGTCACTTTCTTCAAGGCACAGCCCTCTCGTATCCTCTACTGTGATTCTCCTGTTCATGCCGGATTACCTATACAGTGTTGAGGGAGCAATGAGCAATAATCATGATCTTCTCATTTTGAAGGCTGGTGCGAATCGTCACTATACAAATTATTCCCTTCCATGGTTCAGGTAGGATTCATTCAACCCTTCCCGTTTTCATCGCCTACATGAAAAGTGGTTTACTCTTCCAACTGAAGCGTAGTGCGCACAAGTACCTTTAACACATGCTAAAAGCCGCCCACTATTGGTCTGTGAAGCTTACCCTCAACGCCCTGTTCTAAGTTGTGTTCCCGTATTCTCAGAATAGCTTGTACGGGTGAGACGTAAATCGACTCAGGTTTGCTGCCCTCGCAAAGGGTTTAATCATTACCATAATGCGCCTCAAACTACAATATGATCCTCAAACACCAGACTTGAAGCGCCTAACTGCATCAGCCACTGATCAGATCTTACATTCTAGGTACTCTAATGCCCCAACCTCAAATCCTACAATTTAAGAGGCCGTAACTGCTCAAATAATCCTGCTCGGATAGACTTGAAGATAGTCCTCATAGCTTTTCAAATGACCGCAGGCCATAGTTCGGCCATTTTGATTCTTTGTCAAGAGGTGGCATCTTACTTAAATTTCAACCTGGTAAAATGTCGCACCCCCCCCCCCTTAGACCATTTCAAGCGGTAACAGACTTGCCTTCAGGAACTTAGGAAGTCATCGCTTCAATCATGATGCTATTAGTTGGTTTTAAGGACCATTTCAGCATTTCGCTTCTAGCCTATACCCCACTCCCTTTACACGCATTTCCATAAAATTGTCTCAGAAGTCAATAGCTAAGTATTATCTCGTTTACTTGTGTTCTGCTTATCTACCTATACCTCTATCTCCCTCTCTCTCCCTCTCAAGCCCACATGCAGCGAAGTGAACCAGAAATTTGAGAGAGGAACAGGGAACAGACAGACGCTCTTCAACGCACAATTCATAAACTATACATAGACGGGTTGAGGAGGCAGAGATGGAATACAAGAGAAGCTTGAAATGGACACATGTTCGTGTTCGCCGATGATGCCTATTTAGCACAGAGTTATTATGTTTAACTTCACGGCAACAAAATGCAACATATAGGAGAGAGAGATTGGATGTGTGTAAGCAAAAGGGAAAAGCCAAAATTGGGTATGGGTTTGTGAAAGACCTTTATAAACCGATGCTTCCTCATTGGGGATCGGTTTTTTTGCTATTTTGTCGGGGTGGTGGCTGTATTGAAATATGGGAGGGAGAGAGATTTACTGGCTGTTGTTGTTGTTGTTGTTGTTGGGACTGGAATGCAGAATTTGACGGTTGCTGAACAGTGGGGGCAGTAGCGGCGGCATTGGAAGATGGAAAGAAGTGCTGAGTTTGCGGTTGAGGCTGATACGCAACGGATTCCTGAGCAGTAGCAGCAGGAGCAGCAACGGCAGTCTGACTGCCTTCAGTAACCTCCGAGGCCCGTACTTTTTGATTTATCTGCTCCAAAGTTTCGGGGGTGAGATAAGGGCGGAGATTATCGAAAGCCTGTTTGTATGTCCGCAGTTGAGTATTCTCCTGTTGAAGACTATTCACTGTCGTGCGCAAGGCTTCAATCTCAGAACTCAGCTGGGCATAGTGATCCTGAAGGGTCTCCATTATTGCCCCTCGAATTACATCCTAGAAATAGAGTAAACCAATTATTGATATTAGATATCCGATATGCCGATTAGCTTCGGTGTACGTTGAGACGTTAACAGGTCAATCAAACGAGCAAACAAGTGCGAAAAATCTACTGTCAAATTGCACATACTAATTAATTCAGCTTCTTGTGTAAAAGAGACAGTAAAAGCTTGAAATTTCTTGCGAAAAGAACTACCAAATGTGTGTTGCCTAGGTGACCACGCATAGATGTTGATTTGATGTTACCACAAGAGCATGCTCAAACCCAAGAACATACTAGAGTGATTTGATAGACGTCTACCCTTGACGTCAAAATTCAGCATGTGCATTAGATATATTTTGGTAGAGGCTTTCCTGCTTATTTTTTTTAATTTCACGATGATTGCTCCAGTGTGATGAAAGAAACGCAGATGCCAAAGGGGAAACACCACTGCTTACACATTTTAATAAATGTGATCTCGAGAGAAATTAAGCGCTCAATTGCCTGAGCTACTTCACCGGCATAACCGATGCAACCCATTGCAAACAAGGAAGGGAAGCAGATCGGGATAAATTAGAGCTAAAATGTCAAGAGTGCAAGGGCATAAATGCGAAGGAATTCGATTTCTACTCGACTGCTAAGGCAGGTAGCAAAATTTCCGGTCTAGTTTTGCTTTTACCGTTCCAGTAGCCCAAAAAAAACGAATCCAACACACACACACACTTTTGCCAAATCAGAGGCAACGAAACCGGTGCACATTGCCACAACTAAAACGATGCAAATGGCCAAACAACGCTGATTAGATCTTATCAACACAAGAGAGGTAGGCGGGTGAATGTGAGTTTCCCGTAAGACCACCGCCAGGATAACTACCCTCTACCAGGTCGTGTTGTGAGCATTTCTCACAAGGGGCTTGGGAAGTGCCGAAAGCTAAAGCAATTTATTCGCAAATATTTTCTATGTATTTATAAGTCGAGTACTCTTAAATTTGTTGCAACTGACGAAATCATAGCAAGTGCCATGCTATGAACTTTTGATGGTATAAAGGAAGCGACAGGAGACAGCACCCACCCTCATAAATGAGTATGAAACTCAAACTTGAAATGCTTTGCAGTGAACCAGAATCCACTCCAGACGAAACCACTAATAGAAGTTAGAGAAATATTGCGTAGCTATAGCGATTCAAACAAGAGATAGGGATCTTGAAATTTAGCTTTTGTTAGAAGAGAATAATAAAACGACTATTCTGCAGCCATTGATTCGACCAACAGGATAAAATCGATAGGTAATATTTAAGAGATATGCAACTTTCCAAATTGCTTTTGAATCGTTAACCTCCAAAAGATTTAAATGAAGAGCAAGTACTGTTGCATGCAAAATGCTTCTTTCAGCTTCAAAATGAAGAAGTAAAAGAGCAAATTGGGCTAATTTTCACTTTTCTGCTTTTACAAAAACCAAATTCTTTAAATATATATATCTCTCTACATATCAGGTGGCTGGAAAAGTAGCACGTTCGCAAAATGAAAGGAGGAAAAATCTTTGTTCTAACCGCCTTTTTTACCCTTTCGTTATAAAGCACATTAATGCTTTGCCTTATGGCATTTTGCCGTTAATGAGATCAACTGCAATTTTTACACGTTTCTTTAGAAGAAGGCGTTTTGGAGCCTCCTAGTGGTGGTAAATGCATCTTCAGTCATGACCAGTTAGCTCAGTGTGGATACTTTTATAAAAATCGTACGACAATAAAGGCAGAATGAATTTCCCATTGATATAACAATGAGAAATTTTATCCATGTAAAATACAGCCTGAATAAAAAGCTTTCTTTCTTTCTAAAGGTTTGATTTATAGTGTTCCGCTCATCTCGTCTTCCCCCCCCCCCCTCCCCTCCTCTAGACAGTGCCACATGACTCCAAAAAATGTGGAAGTACGCAGGAACAACAATTTCAGGTGATGTTGTTGCTGCTGCTGCCGTTGCCCTTGTTGCAATGTGCATTTTCTTAGCGCGAATCGACGACTAAAGGCGCGCGCGCGTGCAAGTCAGAGAAAAGGTCAAACAGCCACTACACATTTTAACAATACACAACAAATTTACTGGAGAGAGATCGGAATTTATGCGTACGACAATTAAACTACCAGCAGAACCAGATAATAGAAGCTCAAAGTAAGAAAGTTCTAGAGACTAATTAGTTTCCATCTCATTTGTAATCCCATAAATACGCAACCATGGAATTGGAAGTCAGTCAGTAGGGAAGTGCACAGATCAATAATGACCACTTCCAATATAACCAATTAGAGGTTAAGAGTCAATATATCCTTGATTACAAATCTATATTGCTGGAGGTAGAAGTAGCCATTATGTCAAGATGATTGCCACCTACCGTTCTTGAACCTTTCAATGATCCACTATTCTTAAACTGATAAACGTGCATGCCCGTTCATTCTATCCAAGACCACTTTTTTTTCACAAATACATTTACACCACAATTCCTAATATATTAATAAAATTCGAGTTAGTTGTATAACGACTAACCTTAAACTGTCGCTAGCCTACGAAAGATGATGACATTGCGCTAACCTACTAATTAAAAGGACTGGTTGAATGAAAGTTTCTCGTCATCAGATGAAGGCGGGAGGAGGGGAGGGAGGGAGGGGTGGGGGGGGAAGAGAAACGTCTTAAATAGTATGCAACAAATTCAGAGCTTAGAGGAGTAATATGGATTGGAAGTTTTACCAGCAGAAACTCGTAAGTTTGAATTAAATTGATCAAATCATAGAAGCACAGAACGTACACACAAGAAATAAAACGCCCTAAAAAATTGATTTTGTGGCACATGAACTAGCAACTATGCCCCTTAGCGTACCGATTTTCCCTCTTCACCTCGCCTTAAAATCCCAACTAAAGCACTTCCTTAGTACATTGTTTAAATACTTTGAAGTCTATCTTCTTTCTATTTTCATTGTGAAGGTGTTCAGGGCAGAAAAAAAGGGCTAGAAGTTCAGAAATATAATCTTTTCAAACAAGGTTGTAGACATTTTAAAGATTTACAAATCAGTGAGCTGAGGCATAACTGGCATAAGGAGCATATATATATATATATATATATATATATATATATATATATATATATATATATATATATATATCCTCTGCACCTGTCACTCAGAGTGATCTAAAAGTCTATCAATAGAAAGACCATTCGCAAAGACAAAAAGTAAGGCACATTTACTCGCTCTGTTGACCTGTCAACTTTATTATAAATGGTTAAACTAAGCGCACATGACTATTATGAAAATTAGTACTCATTTCTAATTCCGCTAATAAAAATCTAACTCCAATCTAGTGCACTCAAAAGGCTTACCGAACGTAGCATGATCATACGAGAAATAGTTCATTCATCCTCTAACAAGTGAGCAGAGAAAATTGAGATAATTAAAATCTAAAGCTTTAAAAAGAGAGAGAACAACTCGAGAAAAAAAGAATCCTAATATCTAAATCGAGAAAAGCACCACACAGCTTGTAGGGAAGGCATTTCTAAAAGGGAAACAAGTGTCAGGTACACAAATATATCTCTTCGTTCATAGCAAACTAACCCGTCACGAATGTCCCATCCTGTTTGCGCATATGTCAGATCAATTTAACTGGAAGAAACCCATTCCCTAAACAAAGCAATTTTATTAAATTAAATACTGAACGAAATCAGGTGAAGACACATCACTCAGTGACGTGTTACAAAGCACATGATCTAAGAACAGGTACATTTTCTTATCATCTAACTTCGTTGTAAGCGTGAGAAATGAACTTATTAGATCAAAAAAAGCAATAGTGACATAAAATATAGGACAGGTGAGAAGTGAGGACATACCATACACTTAGGAACGGGTGCCTGCAAATTTCCAGAGACTGAGGTAGTAGTCGCATTAGTATTGTTATTAGATGACGGTGAATTGGAAGGCATCGCAGGATGAGGTGGTTGGGAGAGAGGAGAAGGGAGGGAGAATTGCATGGAGGAGGGAGATGAGGCGTTCAATTGCCCATTGGCGAGGGCAGGAGCATAAGCATTCGCCACGGCCTCTACAGCCTCGCAAATATTCCTCGAAGCGGCGCTGAAATCCAAGCTGGTTGCTCCTGATGCCAGATGACCATCAGTTGCTGCACGGAGATTTGAGATTACCGAGGGTACGATGTTCCGCGCGAATTCCGCTGTTGTGGTGGCAGCTGATGTAGTAGAAGCAATAGTAATTGCTGAAGTTGGTGGCTGGTGTTGTTTGGCCTGCGTCTGTGGAATTGCAATCGTTGATGTGCCATTCTCAGGTAGACTAAAATGGTAAATGAATGAACCTTTCTCAAATTTTATAATGAAAAGCGGGAATAGAAGTGATAACCAACGGTGCACACCGTGTGAGCGGAATTACTAACCTCACTGACTTAGCATAATTTCATATTAGGTGGACTCAATTACGAATATCCTCTGCTTAAAATAAGTGATAGGAAACACCTTTCTACATTTCTGCATTCAAATGCATTATAAATCAGTTGAATCTTTCTTTTGATTATGGTTCCGAATTTAATAAAAAAAGGGTAACTTATTGCATAGCACCATGTAAAAGAAAGTAGTTCACAAGCAGGTACAAATCGGAACCAAAAGAAACCCAGCAATATGAGATGATTAAATTGAAACAACAGATTCTGAAAATGGTGATGGACAGGCTAGACAGTTTCCGAATTAACCAGAGTAAAGAATGTACATAGACAGCTTTCATCTTCCCCTTTCTTCGGATCTAACATTATCTACTAGCTATCCGCATTCCTATGAATTTTGTTGTACAATAATGTACAACATAGAATTAGGAGGAATCAATGCTCTATTGAATAGTAACTTGGGATGGTGCCTTAACTATCTCGGAGTAGTTCCAATTTCATAAGCACTAAACTGTAAACTGAAAAGAAAATTGGCAGAAAAGTGAGTTGACAAAGGGAAATTTTAATCTGGATTCCACTGGCATTTTGCACAAAGTAGGCTGTCCAAAGTGGTGCTGAATCATCGCCAATAAAGAACGTTTGTCTAGGGCTTCCTCTCCCAACC